GTCAAAAGTTCGCCATTTCGACGCTGGGATGGTCTAATTTTGTCAACATCAATAAAATGTCAAATAATCATACTTAACTCGTTAAATACTCAAGTTAGAAGAAAAATACATAGAATCTTTCTTGTAGAGGACATCAGTGCCTACAATTTCTGTATAATAAACTTTTCGCTATCGTCAATAATTAATTGGATATTTCCTTCTATACTTTTTAGCACGTAGCTATTTATTATTAGCATTGTTCTTCCGACGTCTGATTTCTTTTTAATTATAGGAAATGCGTTTTTCTAAGGTACATTAACTGTTAGGATTGACTGTATAGCCAATACATCCTTAAGATCGTCTTAAGCACTTGCTATCCCTGTCTATTCCATATTTCCAGTTCTTTTTTATACAGGAAACAGGAACTTACAAATGTTTAAGATGATCTTAAGAATAATGACTCCGAATACCCGCCAAAGATTAAAACCGTTCGTTGCGCGAAATCATGAATCAGCTGTCCCGTGAATTTCAAGCGAATGGGTCGGTGGTAAGAGCGAGGGAAAGCGTCGGACAGGGAAGAGTCCCTCGCCTGCATCAAGCCTAATTGAAACGGAACAATGGACGCGTAAACAGAGTGACGAGTCAATAAGGGTTTCATTAATTACGTTCGTTCTTTCTGTATTCGGTTTAGCTCTTCCGTTGTCCGACCCGTTTACCCTTTTCTCGCTTCCGCTGGCTTCCCAGTCGATCGATTGATCGCGAGGTCGCGGTCGGTCGCCGCTTCGGGACGAAACCGTGTTCAACCAACGGCAGCTCTACCGTTCGTTTTTTTTTTCTTTATTCTACTGTGTCCACGTATCTGGTTTCACTTTAAACATTCTCCTCAAATTTGATCGTAAAAACCGAGCACGCATGGATTCCGGTGAATCGTAAAGGGAAGCTAATTTTACGATTCCGCACCTATTATCCGACGCAGGCGTTGTTACAACGTGGAGCGTGACCCCTGCCCCGTTATTTCTTTCGGCTCGATTTTCCAAAAGGCCGCGCAAAAGGTTGGACCCACGCTTCGTAAATAGAATCGAGTGGACCATGAAACTAAATGGAGACTTAAAATTTGCATTATCAGCAAAATTATCAGCAGATTTCTATGCGGCATGAAACGTTTATGATATCAGTTGGAAGCGTGCTTTTAACGCTACGTATATTTTTATACGTCGCACGCATTGCTCGTATTTTCTGTATATGCGATTATCTCAGAAACGCATGAGATCCGCGGTTTAATTAATAGTAATTCCCGCTGTATTGCAGTAGGACGCACTTAAATTGAATTCGACACGGTTGAATCAGAGGAAAATCTTAGAAGAGATGTTCTCAGTTGATTCTACGATCGGAATTACGCTAGTCCCGTCTATCCATGCTCGACTCCACCGCAACTGCGGGCTGTTTCGATTTAAGCTCCGGCCAAGTAATATAGGATGTAGATATGTAGGTTAATCGCAGATCTTGCATCTCGCTCCTGTACTGTCCGCCTCTCCTTATTTCTATCTCCTCGCGTTTTACGTCTCGCGACCCTTCGACAAAGCGGGACGCGAACTCCATTCACGGTGTTTATCGCGCGAAAACTTTATTACCCAGGGCCGCCGCGTCGCTCAAACTCCCGTGAACGTCTCTCTGTGAAACGGATGCAATTTCCGAGTTGTAAATAGAAAAATATTGCGAGCACTCGCTTCGAACAATTACGAAAATCTGATTCGTCGATCTTTATAATTCGACGACAAGGCCAGGTTCTCCTGAATTATCTAACACCGCGCTATATCCTGCAAAACCGTGCTATTATTAGTCGTGTCCTGTCTCTCAAGGTGAATTATTTCGCCTCGACGAAATAAAAATCGTACCATTGGAAATAGTAATTGTTAATACGTTTCGAGTCATGCCGATAGAATGATACGTGCAATTTTCCTGGGTCAACGAATACAAATGAAGCAAAGAATAGACTTGAATTCGTTGCATTCTCATACACACTCGATATAAGTTCGATTTGCGTGCGCTATACGTAAATCGTAGATTCATCATATTCTACGTATTCATGCCGAGAACTCGGCGCTTCTAAAATCTGAGCGTTCGGAAATTGGAAAGTTTGAGTCGAATCGAGAGTCGAACCCTGCGGGCATCTCCGCCGGCCGACAAGAACGGTCCAGAGGCGAGTCGTTGTTCGTTCTTTCGCGAAGGCGAATTTCGAGGACGCGTTACACCTATCGTTGCAACTATTGTTGGCGATCGGAAGCATCGCCAAGCGGCGGGAACGTCGGATAAGCTTTGTGTGGAAAGTGGAAACCTTGAAATATCGATCTGTTCGTTGAAGCTGATTTAATCGTTGACCAGGTCCAGCGTAGAGGCGCTCTCGCTCGGATCGGAGCAACGCCGTAAATTGCGACTTTAAAAACGCTCTCTCCGATCCCTTTTCCTCCTGCCTAGCCTCCGCATCGCGAGTAAAACTTAAATATACCAGCCTCGATAACTTTCCAAATTCCGTTCCGTCGTACAACAGAGTTAAAGGGTTCTCTGTGTGCAACGAATTTAAAAATGCGGTTTCTATGACTTAGCCGGCGGGTGGCCATGGCCCCGCGAATTAAACTGAAACACGCTTTGCTAATTTTCCAAGTTCGCTATACTTAGAAGAGGCATGTAAACCTGATTTGGACGCTGGGATTGTCTACGTGCTCGGCCATAATCCAATGAGTCAGGCGTAGGAACGTACGCGTATCTCGTTAACCAAGTCTGGATTCCGTCTGCATCGTTTCTCGTTCCCTTGAAATTATCGGAGAGCGGGACAAAAAACGCGTTGACGCTTTTATCGGAGGGATATTTTAGCTTCGCTTGCACGGTCAAACGTGTAGCAGAGAGATAAGACTTGAGAGCTGCTTTCATTTTATTTTTGACAAGTCTCGCCAATCGACGGACGGTGTTTCTATATAAATATGAATATGAATTTGAACAACCGGTTGATAATTCAGTCGGCCGAGGTCGTTGAAAAGTTTCGTTTCGTTTTCAGGGGCTTCGGAAAGCAAGGATATCAATGCCAAGGTAAGAACGGCTGCCTATCGAGACGAGGAAGAGAACGCGAGAACGACTCGAGCTTTTGCTCCATTTCAACGCTTGTGTTGCAGTGTGCAGTTTCGTGGTGCACAAACGATGTCACGAATACGTGACCTTCACGTGCCCCGGCGCCGACAAAGGAGCTGATTCGGACGTGAGTATCAACGAGTCGCATACCTTCGTTACGAACGCGAACTCGAAACTCTTTTTCCGTTTGTTTCTTATTTACTATCGCGCGCAGTCTTTTCATCGCAGAGTCGAACAGCCTTTCTCTCTTTCGACCAAAGCCGAGGACGTTCTACCCTCCCGTCGCTCGCACGCGTCTCTCGTTTCTCAATTAAAAAGAATAAAAAAAAAGGGACGTCGCGATTCGATCGACTCGTGTGTACATCCTTCACTCTCGACGTCATCGACAGTCGAACGATCAGAGAATGATTACTGCGTCACGTCGACGCGCTTCCTCATCCCCCACTGTTTCTCTCTTGTTAATTAAATACGCGCCGATCGGAGGCGCGAGCGCCTCTAAACACGCGTGCAAAATGCCTCGTCCGTGTAACGGGCGGCCGAGCGGCTGCCGTGAAAAGCGGTTAAGGAAGGTCGCTGTCGGATCGATATCGAGGTCGAGCTTTCCGTATTCCCGTCGACGATTCGCGCGACGAGCGTATTTTTACAAACCGATCGATTCAACCCGGATCCCGTTTTCTCCCGGACCATGAAATTCCCGCGACCCAGCGGACGCTCGCCGCTCGCCACTTGCATCGCGTCAATCGTTTACGATTACTCCTATATGCATCGTCTTTAGAGACTCGAAGGATGCATTCCGAAAATTATTTTATTTTTAATTCGCAACGTGACGGATGACGTATCTGGAAAATTGAGCGAAGTTTCGTACGCACCGATCTGACATTTAGAACAGTATACTCGACACGTGTTTCACAAGATTAGAACTCGATGGAAGAGGGATGTACCTAACGAGGAAACGAATCGAGGCAAAGGTCCGAGTCTAATAACTGATGGAAAGGATTAAGACGCGTCGAGGGACGAGAACGATCCTCGGCTGGAGTAAACGGGGAAAGGACACCTGGGGCTAAGAGCTATATATACATATATATACATATGTATAAATGAATATATAAATACTATACATAGAATTTCTCCACGTTTTCTCGCACCGCGCACGATTGGCCTAAGCGTTTTCTGCGCTTCGTTTTAACCACGCTTGTAACACGGTATAATACGATTGTGCGAACGAAATAAGAAGATTCTCATTGGCCCGGACTCAGTCAGTCATTCGATGGAAGGAGCGACGATCCCGACTCATCCTCCGAACCGACTCGGAATTAAGTAAATGCGGCTGATTTGTTTCTCATGCACGTTTTTCAGAAACGTTCCAAACGAAGTCGAAAGCGATGGACGAGTCGGAAACGTCTCTCGAACCATCGCGAGAGATCGGAACAGTTTTTTTCTCGTTTCACATTCGTCATCATTATCGTTATCATTATTATTATCGACTAAGAATTATACGATCAATGTCCCCTAGCGTCTTCCTTGGCCCTGGTGCTGATTTTCCTTGTGCTTCTGTGCTTCGAAAACGACTCTTTTCTCGATTCACTCGCGTGAAATTCTTGCAGCTTCGAACGCACCACCCCGATTTCCCTGATGGCGACTCGCGTCGCGCAGAAACGGAAACTCGTTCAGAAAACGCATTCGTATCAAATTCGAATCTATCTTTCAAGGATCTAATTAAAGTAATGGAGATTTTAATCAGAGAAAACGACCCGACGTAATGCACGGAGTCGCGTACAACGTCGGGTACGAAACTGGGAAACAGATTAATCGAATTGGTACTTTAACCGTTTAACAGCGAAACGCAGTCGCGGGGATAAACACGTTCGGTCCTTAAAGTAATTGCAAAACGAGTACTAGCGAGTTTATGCACGCTGTGATTGCCAGGAGTTTTCCCACGTGATCGATGAATCACTTATACAGAGTGTCCCAGAAAAAGTTTTACAGGTGATTCAGTAAATGTTTCTGAACAACAATTTCCTTTACCAAAATGCAAAGTGAGGTATAGTTATTGAATTATTAACGAAAAACACTGACCAATGAGAGCACGCGTGGGGCCCGCGCTATGCCACGGCCGAGCGTCACGATCCGAGCTGACCTACCCATGGCTCATTTTTCATTTTATCAAAGGAAATTGTCGTTCAGAAATACCTCAAAAATCATCCCTTAACACTTTCTTTGGGACACCCAGTATATCTAGTTAGATATAATAATGAAGAATCAATTTCGCGTGAGCTTCTGGTCGTAAACGGTAAATCGTTTTACCGCCTGGACTGGCCGGGAAAGAAAACGCTTATCAGGGAATTCGGTCGATGCGGATGCGGATCGATCCCGATTCCTCGTTTCCACCCGATATCTCCCAAAACCTCGCGTCATAAAAGCCGCCCCCGATAGTCTGCGTGTGTGTGCACGGTGTAATGGTGTAATAACGCAGGACACGCGGACGAAGCACCAATTCAAGCAACACACCTACAACAGCCCCACCTTCTGTGACCACTGCGGTAGTCTTCTCTATGGTGTCATCCACCAGGGCATGAAGTGCCAAGGTATCATTATTAAGAACCAAAGAAAAAAAAAAGCAAATCGAAAGATTTGCGAGATCTAAGAAAAGAATAAAAAAAAAAAAAAAACGAGAACACGCAACCAGTCACACGCACACAGACACACGAAAAGGAAAAGGACACAGACACTGTCGCACATTTCAATGATAATTATTGTATTTACTAATCGTTGATCGTTTTTTGTCTTTTTGGCCCACCGTTTGTTCGTGTGGTGTTGCTTTGTCTTCGTCTTAATCCTCTAATTATAATTATGCTCTTCTTCGTCTACTTCTAATACAACATCGTTCTTCTTCTTCTTCTATTACTACTACTACTATTATTTTATCGTCTGCCCTTTCTACTTTCTTGTTTTCCCCGCTGTCCCTTCTCTCTCTCTCTCTCTCTCTCTCTGTAAATATTTTTACTCGCAAAAGCTTGCAGGAACAGTTTTCGATGTTACTCGCGCGTTACCATAGCAGCCTGAAACTCTAAAACGCTCGTGCATCTCGCAAGCACGGTCGAGATACGATTGCGCCTTTTCCACGAACCGTACCTACTTATATACACAGAAATTAATTTGCCGCGAATTCGCCTCCCTCGAGCGGAAAATTCGTGGCCTAGCTTCCCCGCCCGGGCTTCATCGCCGGGATAACGCTGTTTGCGCCTTCTAAATGTCTCCGGGGCTACCGTTACTACGCATTTTACACGCATAACGCGTATTACATGTGCGCACAGAAACGTGTACCTATTTACTTTTCTCCAAAGAGGAGAAGAAGGAAAGAAGCCGAGAGGGGGTGATTGCAAAAAAGAGAAATGACGAAGTACGCTTTGAGAGCTTTCGGATCGAAAGTTTAAAGCAGCTATTCTCGTATCATTGTTGCGTGTCAAAATTGCGAATCTCTTTCGCACGCATGTCATGCACATGCACTGCCGTTCTTATGACATACTGTAAAAGCTATAACGTGAGTTAGGAAGAATTTGAGTACACTGGAAAAAAGTATAATGATTCCATTGAAACTTATTTTATACTCAATTTTCAGATTTTTTTATAGACATAGTATTTGCAAGTGGAAGGTGAGATTCATGAACGAAGATTTATATCGACGCAACTTTGATACGATACGACGATATGATACAAATTGATGTCGATGTTAAGGTTCGAAGTTCCTCTCTTCTTCTTTTCCTTCGCTCTCCCGCTTGTGGCCGCGGTGGCGGATCTAACGATGGGCTCGATGGAATTGCAGATCGTATCAGAATTTGTCAAAAGGAAAAAGGAACGATCGATCAGCTCATCGGTAGAAGGATCTCGTTTTTTAAACAGTTCTCCGATTTTTTCTGTTTCTTTTTTCTACGAGTCTAATGTGTGCGCGTGAACACCCCATCCACTGACACATTTTACCGAGCCCTAATTTCGAGTATTCTATCGTTTACAACGTGTGTGTGCACAGACGTTGGATGTTCGTTATACTGTACTACACGCGATATTTAGCTTGGCATTACTCTGAATGGCGAAGCTTGTCGTTCGTCTCTTTGTCATAGTTGTGCAAAGTTAGGTGGATATTAAAACGTACAATCGCGCGAACTGTTATTTTTTTTTTTTTTTCTTTCTTTCTTCCCGAATGCATGGAGATTGTTCAAGCAACGATAGAGATAGCGAGCACACGAATCCGGTTCGTGCGACATTCCACGTAGTCGAAGTAGAAAGAGGATGATCGATCAAAAAAAAGGAGCAACTCACTCAATTACCGCTGCTTAAAGGTTTAGACGATAGGAAGGTAACGCGTGAGCGTCGTAACACAAACTATGTTCTTCCGAATTAAGAAAGATGCTTCGGGACACATCTTCTCTTCTGTACAGTTCTATTTTTCCATTATATTTTTTCTACGATGTTTCGAATCTCGGTGTACATACATTCTATGTATCTTTGCCTCTACGTGTCTATCTAACGATCTTCGCACTCTTTATTTTTGCTTTTATATATTTTTGTACATACACTGCGATCGGTTCTCTATCGTCCTTGCACGTTACCGTCCACAAAGCTCCAGTGATCCGCAAAAAATTGTTTCATACAAAACATCTGACTGTCGTTCGATTTTATTAAAAGAAGCTGTATATAAATTCTGCATTTAATGGACCTTATGAATTATGTATGTAAATCCTCGCACTTGGACCAATCCGAATTTATTCTTTTATTACTTTTAGGATCAGGAAATATCGCGTTGCATTATCTGTATTCGTACTTCAGGTGAAGAAGGATATACTTAAGGATGTATTGGCTATACAGTCAATCCCAAAAGTTTATATACCTTAGAAAAACGCATTTCTTATAATTAAAGAGAAATCA